GTAATCCTGAAGGTTATTAGAAAGTGGTCAGAGAGAACAGGGTTGTGAGGAAATACTGTTCTTCACATTCTATGCCGTATGTCAGCACAAGATCCAAAGTATGAAGATGAGAATGTGTGGGACTATTCACATTTTGAACAAAGCCAATAGTGTCTAAGATAGCATTAAAGGCTGTTCTTAAGCTATCGCCTTCAATGTCAGCATGGATGTTAAAATCTCCCACTATGATGACCCTGTCAGATCGTCAGTGAGGAACAGAATAGATTGTAGGTGAGGAACAGAATAGATTGTAGGTGAGGAACAGAATAGATCGTAGGTGAGGAACAGGATAGATCGTAGATGAGGAACAGAAAAGCGAGGAGCATTGAGGAACAGAAGAGGACCGGCTGAACAGAACCGATCTGAGATCCGGTTAAAGCTGCTGTGTTTGGGAAGACCACCCTCTGACTTACTTCCCAGTGAGCATGCTGGAACGGGACGGACAGCACATGGGCGTGGTCACGAAGGCGTTGGAGAAGAAGGTCCCGCCCTCCTCCATGATGCGGCGGGTTTTGTTCATGGCCTGCATGGATCCTGAACACAGATGGGAGAATCTCACTAGCTGCACAGTGGAAAACATCTGCAGAGGAACATAAACATCCTGAGCTTCTGCTTCCACATTCTAGAGCCAAACAGCCTCCATGGCGGCGTACCGAGCTCCACGTCCTGGTCGTCTGTCAGGATCAGGATGATGTTGGGACGGATGTTGCGTCTGTCCCTCTGGATGCGCGGCTTCAGCCGTTGGCCAGAGGGAAACTGAGCCTCACCCAGCATCACTGAGAGGAGCAGGAAGAGGAGGAGTCTGGCCAACATGGCCGCCGCCAGCGGGTCGGGTTGAACTCAAAGGGTGAAGAGATAAGTGGCTTCTCCAACCTAAAGGGACACAGACAGAGAAGAACATCTGAGCATCTTCCAGATGGTTCTTATTAACAGAGTGGCGCAGGGATGGGCCTGAAGGTGGCGCTGTTTTCCACAGAGCACAGCTCAGGAATCACTAAGACTTTTAAGATCTTTACAGCAGATCAACGAAAAACGAATCTATTGTATCTTTGGACTGAACCCGTCCAGAACCAAAGGTCCAGATATGGAGGCCGGCCGGCCGGCTATGGTTCCCAGTAGCAGCAGAGAACAGGAGGGAGTGAGCTCTCTCACTGTCCTGTAGGATCTGTGCGCTGCGTCTATTAGTCACCTGGGGGTCAGAAACTCCGCAGGCAGAACAAGGTTCAGTCACACAGCTACAGTTACAGGCTGTAAGTAGACACATCACAGATTAATAGATCTTCACATTACTGCCAACATCACAGGAAGTAGCTGTTTATTGTGATGATCTCCATGGCAACCGAGCTGCAGGGGTTGGCTTTACTGATTTTCTCATTAGACCGAAAATTTGTTTTTAGTGTTGGCTGCTTAAATCTTCTAATGAGGAAAATCTGAAATCTAAAATTTTGCCCCTTTGAACAAGAAAACACATAAAAATATCTCCATCCCAGATGTTGCTGGAGTCTCTGAAAAGCTCAAGAGGATTTTCTCCAAATAAATCCCAGAACCTTTCAAACCAAACAGACCCTGAAACAGAGACTAGTTCCTCCTAAAGACCTAATCTGAGCAGAGTGTCTGCAGGTCAATCCAGGGAGGAATGATCTGATCTTTATGTTGGAGAAACCAAACAACCTCTCCACAGACGCATGGCCCAACACAGAAGAGCGCCCTCCTCTGGACAAGACTCTGCGCTGCATCTACACCTGATGGACGAAGGACATTCTTTGGAGGACCAGAATGTTCACATCTTGGACAAAGAAGACAGGCGGTATTCCAGCTAACATAGACGCAGTCTTTTTAGGATGGAAAAGACGAGGCCTTGTCAGGTTTAAAGATTTGTATCAGGAAGGTTTTTTTTTTTTGCAATTTTCAATGATCTGTGTGTAAAACTTAAACCTACCAATTCAGACTACTGGAGGTATTCACAGATTTGCCGCTTTATTTCGTTTTTGGAACAAACACACCAAACTTTCCAAATGAACCAGAGCTGCAGTTCTGGATGATATGTTTGCAGTCACTGATCTAAAGGGCCTCATTCTAGAATTCACTCCATTATCACCTCACAGGGGCAGAATATTTATGTTAAGGTGAAAGTTTAGTGGGTTAATGAAGTGGAAGAGCCAGATAGTAAATGGGAAGAGGCTGTGCATAGAGGGACTACATCCTGCGCACGTTTAGCCTTAATCCAGTTTAAAGTCTCACACCGGATGCATTATTCTAAAGCTAGACTGGCAAAAAGATTTAAGAATATGGATAAAAGGTTCAAAGATGATCTGAATGGATGTCTGATCTAATGTCGTACTTCAAATTAGAAAAGATTATATATATGCTAAGAGGATTCTGTGATCGGTTTTATGGCGTTTGGAATCCATTAATAAAATATTTAGAAAAACTCAAGACGCTTCCTGAGAATCCCTAAGAGTAATGCATCGAAATCTGAAGACCTACAGAAGTTAAGTACATGGAATGAATAAGGCTTTTCTTTTATGTGTGGTAGGAATATGTGTCCATATATGCGTATACATTGTGGTTGTATTTTCTATTTGTAGTGAAGACTACTATTTTTTTGTTGTTGTTGTTTTTTTCTGACATTTTGAACTGAAAAAATCTTCCTGGATGGAAGAGAAACGTCTTCAAACTTGGAAACAAAGTCCAGAGGATTAATTTTTAAAATATTTTAACTTTTCTGGACGACTCTTAACTTTCTGCTTCTGAATGCAGACAAAACAGAAGTTGTGATGAATTTATTCCATGTGCAGAATAAACTGTCTGACCATGATTAGAGCTCGAATCACTCTTTCATTTATTGTTCTAACACACAGCTAGTAGGATGCGTTTTCATAGACAATATATGAAAGTACGAATTATATCTGAATAAATAAGATATTTACCAAAAACATCTTAAAGTATCACAACATCATATCGCCATAGCAACATCAATTAAAACTCCATCACCCAGAGCAGCCGGAGGAACAACCTGCTCATTTCTTTATAGAGTGCAGGTCAGGAAGTGGACTCCAGAGGGCGCTAGAAACAAGAGCAGCTTTTAGAGCAGCGTTAGAACCAGAGTCATGGACCTTCCATCTTCATCCAGCCACCAGCAGCTGCTGACATTCTGCAGAAGTCCCACCCATCCAGCACTGACTGGCCTTCAGCTGGTTGGTTCTGTCCCGCAGTGACCCAGGGCGGCTTGAACCGCCCTCTAATCTGCCACATCCAGGTTATATCATCCCATCATTATGAAACTGACCTAAAAACAGCCAGCCGGCAGGATTAGTCCGACTGATGGGAGGTCGACCCGTTTCCAGGAAAAGCAGCCGGATTCAGATGACCTCCTCTACAGAGGGACCCATGATGAGGAACCCAACCAGAACATTTAAAGCTGTGCTGCTGATCTCAGACCTTCAGAGAGTTTATCAGTGATGAATCAGACGCTTCTGGTTCTGATCCGGTCGTCTGCTCACTGAGCGCCGCTTCCAACTGAGCGCCGCTTCCAACTGAGTGCCGCTTCCAAGCATATTCATGGAAAGTTGGTAAAAATGGCATAAAAAGCTGCAGGAGATCAGAGAAAACTACAGCAGTGAGAGGATCATAAAGCAGGTCTGCTGCCGGATCAGAACCTGAAGACCCACCCACCCACCCTGAGTGACAACAGTGGGTCTGACTGATGAGGACGGAGCAGGGTTCAAAGGTTAGAAGGAGCTGCAGCCTGTTTTAATCCATCAACTCAAAGAACAAATGAAATAATTCAGATTTCCTTAGACTTATTATACGATCAGACCCTGAACGCATCCTGAGCTCTCGCTCTCTTTTTGGTAGAAATGCTGCTCAAGCTGACATCTACATGTGGAGAAATGAAACAATCAGGAGCAAATCATATAAGATTACATGCAACAAGAGGAACAGCGTAGAAAGTTTCCATTTGACGTGAATAACTGTATGAGGAGTGGGACCGGACCCAGATGGATGGACCGCAGCAGTTCTGACCCCATCAGAACCGGCCCCCAGTCCCAGTCAGCCCACATCTTTGATCGACATTCACCCGGAAAACATTCATCCATCATTTTAGCCCTAAAATTGATTGTTTTTCTCCAAAGCTGTGAAATGTGGATCAGTATAGAATGAACCAATGGAGAACCTCCCATCTGGAGGTAGGAGAACATCTCTACTTTGGACTGCTGGATCCTGGGTTTGGAGCCAGAACTTCCTCCACCTTCAGACCGTCTGGGTCCATCTGGCCTCATCTAGTGTGGAATAGAAGCATGTTCACGCTCCGGTGAGCGGCGACGGTCCCAAACCTCTGAGCGGGGGGGGCGGGTCTAAGTGGCCGGCTGCCAAATGGACTCAGAGTGTCAATAAAGGCGGAGCCTAATGTGGCCCAAACACTCCTTCATTCATATTCATCAGATGAAGGGAAAAATAGAGAGTGGAAAGGTCACTGTGGTGGTTTCCATGGTAACCGGTGTGTAAACACATCAGCGCCGAGCTACAGGGTCTCTTCCTTGAACAGTGGGGGGGGGGTGGGGGGGGGGTGTTTACATGGCTCCGCCCATCAGCTCTGCAGGACGGGGGCGGGCCCCCCATCCCATCAACAGACTTTATCACAACCTAAAAAAAGAAACAATTCCTGTTTTCTATCTAAGGAAAACCAGCTGATTGCATCGACTCATTGACTCTTCAGCAATCCCTCACACTAAGCATGCTTGTAGCGACAGTGGAGAGGAAAAACTCCCTTTGAACAGGAAGAAACCTCCAGCAGAACCAGGCTCAGTGTGAGCAGCCATCTGCTGAGGCCCACTGGGGTTCAAGGAGACAGAAGCAGACATAGAAAAAGAAGCATAGATACAAAAGGCAACTGTCAACCAGCTCCACAGGCGGCCCCGTCTACAGCGGCTCATCCTCACCAGGGGTCCAAGTGGTCCCAGCTCTGACACTCTGGGTGGGTGTTAGATGTTTAGTGAAGAAGGCTGCCTGCTGCACACAGTTCTGGAGGACATTTTAAATGAAGTTCAGAGATTTAAGTTCCAGTTACTGGTCTGGGTTTCCACCAGGTACCAGCAGGGTGTCTGCCAGCGGGATGATTAACCTCTCACTAACCGCTAGTTAGCCAAAGATGACGTCCACCTGGGAAGGTTTCTAAACTACAGACGCCCAGTTGGTCTTCTAAAGCAGTGATTCACGGGTAATAGCACCCCTAGTGGCCCACCATTACATTGCAGAAAATATGGGGTTTTGCTCTGAAAGGAACTAAATGCTAAATAAACCAAGATTTTATCAACCAACTAAATCTTGATTGATTTAAAAAAAATCAAAAGACATGCCAAGGTTGAACAGCACTGTGAGGCGTTCAGGGTGATGCTTAAAAGTTGGTTTATTTAAGCTTAAATTCCTCTCAGGTTTAAACTTTGGTTAGAATTTAAAGACTGAGGAAGAAATGAACAAGCTGCAGATGGAAGACTGATGATGATGATGATGATGATGATGATGATGATGATGATGATGATGATGATGATGATGATGATGATGATAAAGAAAATTGATATTTTTTGTCAAAACATGCAAATATGTTTTTAGAGGAGAACCAAAGAGTTCGGGTCAGAGGTGATGATGTCAGGCTGAACCATGAGGAGGTCATTTATAACGACTAGCAGCTTTTAATTAAACCTAAAGCTCCAATGAAGCCTTCTGAAAGATTTATCCTCCTTCAGTTGAAGCTTGTCTGTGAGTCTGTTCACTCAGAGACTTGTTGAGATGGAAATAGGAAACTCTTCTCAGTGCTTCTTCTAATTCAGGACAAACATGAAGCGTTTAGATCCGCCTCTCAGGGAAGGTCT